CTCTGCAGGCAGTTTAGAATTACCAACAAGTTGTAGCTCCTGGAAACGTTTCTTGGGAACTTGCAGGGATACTGACAGGAAAGGAGGTAGAAGAGTTTCCCCCAGACCAGCAGCATTGTCTGGAACTGGATTCCATGTCCTTCTGGATAGAACCCAAGCATAAGCCTGGACCAGTAAATAAAATAACACCCTTCCACAGCCTGCCTGTCTTGTTCCACTGCTGATGGCCTCTGCACCAAAGAGAACATTATTAAGTGGGATATGACCAGCCGTGTTATCATGAAGTTACTTGAGTTGCTGCACCAAGGCCTAACTTCTGCTATGGTCTGGCCCTGTTAACAATGGAGACCAAGTGCGGTAATTTTCATGGGGAAACTTTGTGCTTTACCTCTCCTCAGAAGCACGTTCCTTTTTTGAAGGATGATGCTCCCTTTCACTACATCTTTCACCTTGGAAAGTGAGAACGAATCAGAAAGAAAAATGGAGAAGCAATCATATTGCAGATGCAGGTTCCAAGAAATACCTTACTGATAATGTCTAGGGAGATGTTACAAGTTCCTTAGATATGCAGGTCTGTTGCTCAGAGAGGAGGGTTTTTCAGTTCTTTGTAAGTAGACTGCAGAGATCTTTTGAAAAATATACCTTCAGGTTAGGGTGTATTGCTGAAAACATTTAGCCTGGTATACCAGAACAGATGTAGAAAAACATAAGATGGGCTAATCATTAACTTTACTCACCAATTATATAGGAGAATTTGCCCTGGAGTTGGTGATTCTCTGCCCTCACTCATTGGCCTAATTTGTGTCACCACGCAGAGTTGCTCTGGTGGTGAAATGTCCTTCATTCACAGGGTACCTTCCTTCTAAAGACTATAGGTGTTTCATTAAATTGCACTGTGCTCAAGTCAAACACTCCTCTTTGGTTAACAGCTGGTTTTATCCCACACAGCAGATACGGAGCAATGAGCCAGACAGCAGTAAACAAGCAGCACATGAAGACAGAATTAACACTCTAGGCTCTTGAGTTGTGATTCTCTTTGCAATATCCCCAACTTCTCTTGATATTCATAACCCATGCTCCCTTTTAATAATCATTTAAAAAATAACACAGATTCCAAAACACTACCACGGAGATTTCCTTCAAACCTTCTAAGCATCACTGATGTTTAGAAGACTTTTGCATTTCTCCCTGCCAAGAAGACTCTTTGTTGCATTTTATAATATGAAAAAAAGCTTTAAAAATTCTAGTTTTTTAAAGCTATATTATAACCTTGAACATAATATTAGCAAGCCCTCGGTGCTTTTTATTAACGTCCCCTTACTCCCCACACTGAAAAATATTGCAGTGAACTAGATGGCTCTGTTATTAGCTTGTTAACATAAAAGTAACCGGGAAAAATTCTAAAAATAATTATGTTAGACTAAATAGGGGAAACATCAAAGTAATGTATTGACACTGGTTAAACAACTTATTAGTTGGGTGGGGGTGGGGAAGGAGGCAGTGGTTGACAAGGATCAGCTCCTCCCCAAAATGGCAGGTGTCTTAGTGGTGAATGTCCCTGGTCAGTTTATGCCTCTGCTTCTGAAATCATTATTTTATTTCCCTTTCTCTAGGTTTCTGAAGCATATTGCTCTGACAGATAGAGCAGTCGGAACTGGTTATGCCTCAGCTTTAGAGCTATTGTAAGGGTGTCGGTGTTTTGACAGCTAAAGCAAGCTGGCATGGATCCTCAGTGCAGAGCCCAGGGCTTTGGCATCTTGATCAAACCTTTCAACATTTCTCCATGTTTCAAAGCATCTTCTAAATCCCAGGAAAGCAGCACGACATAAAATTAAACACGGAATGTTCGTAGACACAGAAACACTTCCAAATAGAATATATAAGGAAAAACTGAAATTAGAACTTGATTTCAGTTTTAACCTGCTTGATCTCAGCCTTATGTAAGCCTTACAGCCCCAAGTACAGCCCTCTTTATGACTCGTGGTATGTACAAGTACAGCTGGGGTTCCCATTGACAAGAGCAACTAAATCCTTAACCACAAATCGGTGGAATTTTTTTTCACACTCTTCCTTAGGATCTACCAATGTCTCTAGAATTAAATGCTTATTTTATAATGATACCATTTGATTTATTTTTATTTATTGAAAGCTAACTGCCACATAACATTTTCTGATGAATGACTTGAAACAGATATGTTCATCAAAATTACACAGTCTAGAGGCGCCTGGGTGGATCAGTGGGTTAAAGCCTTTGCCTTCGGCTCAGTCATGATCTCAGGGTCCTGGGATCGAGCCCCACATCAGGTTCTCTGTCCAGCAGGGAGCCTGCTTCCCCCTCTCTCTCTGTCTGCCTCTCTGCCTACTTGTGATCTCTGTCTGTCAAATAAAGAAATAAAATCTTCTTAAAAAAAATCGCACCGTAGGGGCACCTGGGTGGCTCAGTGGGTTAAGCCTCTGCCTTCAGCTCAGGTCATGATCTCAGGGTCCTGGGATCAAGCCCTACATCGGGCTCTCTGCTCAGCAGTGAGCCTGCTTCCTCCTCTCTCTGCCTGCCTCTCTGCCTACTTGTGATCTCTCTCTCTCTGTCAAATAAATAAATAAAATCTTTAAAAAAAAAAAGCCTCTTTAAAAAAATCGCACAGTATACATTCTTCACATTATACATTCATAATAGAATCAAAATTAAAATTTAAGAATGCTTTTCACTTCACCTTCTTGATTGCAATAGTGGTCTCAATGAAAGGGCAGACCTGTTCATGTAAATTAAAGGGCACTGAATGATTTTTAAACTCCTATGCATATTACATAAGAGATGGGATACATATAAATTACTAATGCACAAGACTAATGCATAGACATGAACCAAGACCTGTAGCTGCTTTCTTCAAACTTGCCTTGGATTGATAGTATGATTAGAACTCCACATACCTCTCATAGAAGATGAAAATCAATCTTATTGGTCTCCTTGGATTTGTTTCTTATCATAAAATATAATAGTTATAATGGAGGAAGGAAAAAGGGGGGATGGTGTTAGAGGCTAATGATGGCTTAAATAGTCATAGCAATTGCTTCAAGTCATTAAGCCAAACATATTGTGGCTATGGAGACCAGTACTTTTAAAATATACAGCTAGACCAGAATAAATTTTCAAATAGGTTTCTAAATAAAATGGTTCAATTATTTATTTTTACAAAGAGAGGTAAAGTCAGGGAACAAATACAGCAGGCTCTATTTTCATGAATTTGATGGCAGTTTTGCTAGGCTGCTTACCTACAGGAACTGCACACGGATAACTCAGTGAATGTAAAAGTTAAACACAGCCCTGGAGGGCTGAGCACACATTAAATGACTGTATTCTGTCTTGAAAACTTGGTTTGGTTTAAGATGCTTCACACTCGTGAGTTTCTATCATCATGGCCCGAACGCAAATTAAATTTTTGAAAAACACCATGGTCTCCTTTTGCAACTTGGAGAATTCTCTTCATTTCCTTCATTCAGACATGCACCCGTTTGCTTATCGGGCTTCCACTTGACATGTTCCCCAAGGCAGGCTACCTAATTTGGCCCAGTCTATTCACATGGGTCTTGAAGAGGAAAATCTGCCAGCCCACAAATGTCCTTCCTACAGAAAACCTCTATTGACTTCTACCCAGCAATATGTAGATAAACAACTCCTTATATTGATTGTGTAAGTTATGGTAAGGCTACATTAGCATTTATTTCTCTGGATACATATTTAGACAGTAATTTCTTTTAAGCTAGTGATTACCTGGTAAAGTGCATCAATCTGAAAAGTATATTTCTAGGACAACTTCAGAAAATCTGGTAAGAGTTCCCCTTTGCACAGCGAGCATTCCTCCCAGCCTCAGGCTCATGAATGGCTATCTGAGGTTTTGAAACATGGAGACAAATGCAAAGAACATCGCAAGAGTCAGGATTGCATTGACTTGAACTCGTTATCAAGTCAGGAGAATGCATGCAGGAGGAGGACCCTATCGAAGATGCTCGAGGTGGGGCTCTTCTGGACCAGACAGATAAATAGAAAAGCCTTTGAACACACACAGTTACTTTAGTGTTCTCCAGATTGAATTTAAGCATAAGGCATCTTAATTATCCTAAGAAATTTGGAAATAACTGAGTAACTGATTTCAACAATTATTTACGGGGAGATTACCTTGGGGAAATCATCAGCAGGTTGGTCTAAAAAGAAATCAGAGTCAGATATACTGAATTTGCTTTGAAATGCCAGATTTTGTATAATTTCAAGAAATATTCTCTCTAAAGTAACAATCCAGCAGTTAACTCCAAACAGTAACTCAATCATTCTCCTTAAGATACACAACTTCTCACAGGATTTGAAAGAGCCAAATGGTACTTTTTCTTTGAAGAGAGTTTTCTTTAAAGGGCCATGCTGAACTGCACCTTTTCTACATGGATGTATGCTTACAGATCTCATCATCTTCTATATTTAGAGAGATGAGCTTTCCAAAGGAAGATAGGCAGCCAATGAGGAGGATCCCATCAAAAGAGAGGTGAGTTACTATGGTTACTTTTCAGGAGATTGAGTAACAGTGAACGGCTGCTCCCGGCCAAATGGACCCTTTCCAGAGCAGGACCTAAAAAGATTGTTGCTCCCCATACGTGTTGATTCAATTAGTCCAGACTACACGATGTCATCTGAGCCTTAACCACAGGCTTTCCATGGGTGCTTACTGCTTTCAGCTCTCCTAGCCACACACAGGCAGCGAAGTCAAAGGAAAAACACGGAGGGCTGAAAACTTCCAAACACACACCTAGTAACGACGGGCAGGTGAATCCTCTGGAACCAATGTCATGATTTTTAAAAAATGAAATCAGGTTATTCGGGACCACCACCCGGCCGTTTTTCAATCAGTGAGGGCGCAGTAGGATCCCAGAACAGTCCCTATCCTCACCCTCAACGAAACGGGTCTTTTCTGAGCCCCGGGGGAGGGCACATTGCTGGAGGAGTCCAGACGTACCTTGCGAGCTGGGTCCACTGACCGGGAGATCGGCGCATGCACCTGTTTCGTAGAGGCGCGGGGCTCGGTGCTCCCTCCCGCTTTTGCGGAGCTGTCACTCTTCAGAGGGGCGCTGACAGCGGCGGCGGTGGTGGCAGCGCGACAGCGACAGCGGCAGCAGCGGCAATTGCAGCTCGGCGGGCAGCCCTGGCTCCTGCAGGTCCGTCCCTCCAGTCTCTGAAGTGCCTCTCGCTCCGGGTTCGGAACGCGAGGCGGGCGCGCAGCTGCTCTCCGCTCGCATTGGACCAGAGGGAGCAGATGTTACCCGGTTGCTAGGAGCGTTGCTAGGAGGCAATGACGCCCCTCCACAGCTCGGGAGCAACTTTCCTGCAGGTCGGGTGCGCCGGCGGGGGCTGCTGGGAGCTAGGTTTGAGAACTGGAACGAGGAGGGGCAACGAACAAAGAGCCCCAAACAGGAGGGTCCTTTCCTCGCCTAAGTTGTGTCCGGAGAGCTGGGGAGCTGCGTGTGGGTGAGGGGCGCAGCTCGGTGCGCGGGCCTTCAGGCCCTGCTCCGGTGGACCTGGGCGGGTGATGGGGGCCGCTCCCAGCCCAGTCAGGGTCACTCGCTGCAGGCCGGCCGTAGCTGGGTGTCCCCTGGGATGACAGGGTTTAGGAATGGGAGTGGGACGGCACTTTGAGCGGCTGAGGAAGCAGCAGAATTTGATCAGCGCGTTTTCAACACTGAGATCCACTGGGATGCTGTGCCTTGGGGCAGGACTCTAGCAATGGGAGAGCGGGAGGAGTGTGTGTGTGACCTGGGGTGAGACTTGTGGGAGGAAGACTACAGGAACTTTTGTCTTCTGGGACTCTCCTCCCCAGCGTGTTCCTGTTTGTGTCTTCAGGGTTGCACAGCTGATAGATTTTGAAGAGGGACGAGCTAATCGATGAAAATCAGACCAGAGTCTCATCCCTTTACTGGCTATCTCTGCCAGTACAGTACCAAAGATTTCAGAAAAATGACCCTGTGGGCTCAGATACTCCCTTTATGGTGTGGGGAAGTCTTTAATTTGATCCAATGGCTAATTAAAACTCCAGGTTAATATGTAAGCTTCTTTAAACTAAGATATACAAAACAGAAAGTACTTTTGACAAACAAGGTCATTCTCACAAACTGGAGAAAGTATGCCTGTTTCGATTACACTTGAGTATAAATTCACCCAAAGGATTGATTGAATTTTTTCTGATATCTCACTCAAGGCATGTTTTTTGTTTGTTTTTTAATCAAAAAAATGACAACCCCATTCTTGGAGGGGAGGGATGATGAGAAGAACAAAGTGCTCCAGGTAGCCAGTGAACCAGATTAGAGAAAGATAAAATGACAAACCTGAAAGAAGAGGCTTGTCCAAGCCAGAGAGGGAATCCCTCAGAGAGGGAATCTCATTGAAGACGGATATACACCACTTCCCTTGTTCCCTGTAGGGTCAGACCAGGGCCTGGAAGGAAGAGAGTACCACTGGGAATCAATTAAAAAGAACAGTTGCTGTCTTCGGAGCCAGGCCAGGGCTGCCGTGCAGTGTCATGTTGACTCCTGCAAAGGCAGACATTTTGCAAGGCTGAAGGGGCCACACAAAGTAGCCCTACAAATGTCATTGGCCGCTGTTCCCTCAGGCACCCAGTACCAGCTTAACACCTCTGACCAAACTTGGAGTTAACAATTTGTTAGCCTGAGGATATAAAAAGTTGATAACCTTCTGTTAATAACGAATTTGATTATAGGAATCTTTTATCAATGTAGATCAAACCATGACAGGTTCACTTGAAATATCTTATGATTTTGTCAGTTACACCTCAACGGTGGTCCAGTCATGTAGCTTTTCTTTTCCTTGAATGAGGAAGGTTCTCACTTGCCTCAGGTATTTTGTCCAGGTTCTTTCTTCTTCCTTATGGTGCCTCCCTTTTACTTGGTTTACTCCTGCTCAGCTTTCATGTCACAGCTTAAATACCACTTCCTCATAGTGGCTTTCCCTCACAGCGTCCCACTGGCTAGGTTAGCCTTCTAGTTACATTCCCAAATCATCCAATGGTCCCATTTCACAATCGTCATCATACCAGCTTTCCGGCTAGTTCCGCCTTGTTAACACTGTGTTTCTAGTCTGGAGCACACAGGGCCTGGAACATAAATGGGATCATGGGCACTTGTGAATGGATGGAGTCACCCTGCCTGGCTCAGGGTCCCTTGTTTCTACCTGAGCTATGTAGCTCTTAGGTTATTGAATTTACATAAGCCATGAGGGCAGCCCAGTAGTTGCTGTCCTTATTTTATTTTATTTATTTATTTATTTATTTATTTATTTATTTATTTTGCTGTCCTTATTTTAAATAGAGGGGAAAATCTTGTTACATAGAAAATTGTTTTCTGTCCTTAAGAAGACATTATATTGATAGAGCAACTACTTTTTCTTCCTGAGGAATCTTATAAAAGTCTCTACCTGGATTTTACAGGCATTGAGAAATTACTTCAAAGTTCTTTACGTATTTTCCTAATTGTATTCTCTCTGTGTCCTCCAAAGTAAGTGTGATCCTCTGATTTGTTTCATCTTTCCTTAAAACACTCCTTTACCTGAGGTAAAAAGTAGCCTCTATCATCACATGCTCTAGCTCTATGGAGCAAAATATTAAAGGTAAAAAAAAAACAAAAAACAAAAACACACACAAAAATAACCTCTTAGGAGAACAGCTAGCTAACTTGATCAATATGGACAATATAGTTAATCAGAAGAGACCAGGAAACCTCCTTCTCTGTTGTCAGTATAACGCACCAAATAAATGTCAAATTCCCTCTTCACTGGGGACTACCTCAAGGAAAAGTAATAGATGCTGGAAGACATGATGGAATGGTCAGGGTAATCTCAAGATCACAGAATGGCTTGGTGGCAAAGCCAGAACTAGAGCACAGGTATGAATTTAATCTTTACTGGACTATTTATGTCTGCAGTTACTATTTTATAAATTCTTCAATTCTCCTGGCAAGTGATCAGAGCACATCTTCCACTAAATATTTTGGATTTTAAAATTAAGTATTTAAATACCATATGGTCTAGCTTAGAATCCGTCTGAATTGTAATCTTCTCACCTCAAGACAACCCTTGAATCTTGTCCCTCCTCGAGACGAACACAGATGTAACGCTAATCTGTCTCCTGCTCCTTATCTGTTTGCTAAAAAGAATGAGGTGTTCCATTATGTAGCAGAACGCACATTAAAATTCATCAGAGCTCCAAAGTGTCACCCAAAGTTCCTCTTGAGCCATGTCTCTGAATCTCCCCAGAGAACCCTAGAGAAACTGTAAAGAAACTATGGAGTTTACAAGACATATACTGTGATTTGATTCATTGATAAAATGTCACTCAAGATATTTTCTAAAATATTACAAGGGACTTTAAGAACCATCGTCATGGATGACCATCTGAATTATATTAACATTTAAAGATGGGTAAATTTCTGTTGAAGGAATGTCAGAAATAACAATCATTTGTCGAGTTTTTGGTTCTGCAGATGATTTAAAACTCTATTCCGTCTGCAATATTCTGTTTCTGCTCACAATTTCATACGACTTGCTTTGGTGCTTTTTTTTTTTTTTTAAGAGTTTAGTTTTGTTTTGTTTATTAATTATTTGACAGAGAGAGAGATCACAAGTAGGAAGAGAGGCAGGCAGAGAAGCAGGCTCCCTGCTGAGCAGAGGGGCTCGATCCCAGGACCCTGGGATCATGACCTGAGCCAAAGGCAGAGGCTTTAACCCACTGAGCCACCCAGGCGCCCCTTGCTTTGGTGTTTTTAACAGGTTACATATGTATGTACTGCACATACCCACGTAGAAAATGCTCCTCCATACTCAGGGCTGTGAGCTCAAGCTCTACCCTGTGGCTCTGGAAATGTCAGCTCAAGCGATCTCTATTTGCAAAAGTGCCCTTGAACAGTGTCAAAATGCTCTAGGATGACTAGTGTGCACAACTAAAATCCTCAGCCAGCCCATAGTGCTCCAGAGCCACCATGGGTTAGGAAGAGCTGAACAACAAATGAGCTGATGGTTAGCAGGTTTTCCTTAGATAGTTGCCACTCCTACAACATTTGACATAAGACAGTTTTTTAAAAAGGAAAAAAAAATGTGTGTGCTCATGTGTAGGAGTTTCCCACCAAAAGGATTCATTTCCCTGTACATACAGATAAACTACAATCCCCAGCCTTCTTAACCATAGGTGGACCCATGTGACTCATTCTGACCAAAGGAGTTTAGACAGATGTGGTGATCACTGCCTCAAACACAGGTCCCTTAACTGTACCTTTGATTCTCCTGCTTTTTCTTCCTCCTCCATTTGCATGGCCATCTACTCCTTCAGAGGCCCCAAGGACTCTGGGATGACCCTCATCTCAGTCGCTGAGATGCTGCTAAGAGAGAAAGCTGCATGGGCAAAAAAAATCTTGGTGAGAAATAAACTCGTCTTACACAGACTCACTGACACTAAGGGTTGTTTATTATAACAAGTAGCATTAATTATGTCAACTAATACAACATGCAAGGATGATAAAAAAGATTTTCCCGGAAACATCTAGAGACTTTGTTTGTTTGGAGGATGTCAATGGTGTGTTTACTGCAATGGAGGTCTGACCATGAGAGCCCTGCCCTTGTACTTCTAGCTCGCTGCCTCAGAGCCTTGGAAACCTGTTCCAAGTGGATATACACAGAGGGACCAGGACTCCAGACAAAAGTCTCTCTGATGAACAAATACCTACCCTTTTGTACAGGAATACTGACATTTTTGCCTTCGTAGAATCCTCTTCAGATGCCATTTAGTTATTTCAGGTGATCTTTATGTATATGTAACTCCTTACTTACCCAATATTCCACACTTTAACATTTGAGTTGAACCATGTTGATTCATGCATGAGTTCAACATAAAGGCCTTGAGCATCCTAAAACCAAAGTAAATTATAGGGGTCATAAATGTAACACTCATCACCCTAATATACATATCTGCAGTTGGCATGGTTTTGGAGTTAATGGTTTCTGTATATACTAAAAGAAGCAATATCATTCAGACCCATAAAATTTGCATGTTGATGCTGCAAAACTGTATCTTTTTTTAGCATAAAAAAATTTCACACGTATACATATAAGCCATCTGCTTAAACTTTATTGATAAAACCAGTAGCAGCAGTTTTACAAAATTAGAATGATTTTCAGATTTGAACTA